CCAGCTAGGGCTCCCATGCCATTTTAAAGTACCCCATTTAAAATACTAAAACTAATTCATTTCAAACTCTTTACCTTCATTCAGTAGTGAATCATCTTAACTGGTTATCAATGAGCTCTCTCATTGATGTTTCTCTCTCTCTCTCTCTCTCTCTCCTTCTCCCTTCCTCTCTGAAATCAATAAAAATATTTTTTTTAAAAAGCTCTCAAGATGGCCGGAACTGGCTTGGCTCAATGGATAGAGCATCGGCCTGCGGACTTAAGGGTCCCGGGTTCGATTCCAGTCAGGGGCGTGTACCTTGGTTGCGGGCACATCCCCAGTGGGGGGTGTGCAGGAGGCGGCTGATCGATGTTTCTAACTCTCTATCTCTCTCCCTTCTTCTCTGTAAAAAATCAATAAAATATATTGAAGAAGAAAAAAAAAAAAAAAAAAAAAAAAAAAAAAAAAAAGCTCTCATGATGAAGATGAGAAATGGTGACTTTTCTGGCCCAGAGGGAGCTGTGCCCTGGCACATGGTGCGCCCCTCACTCCAGCAGACCACGGGCGCACCACCAGATGCCATCGCTCCTGGTAACAGCCACCGGGGGCCTAAATGCCCTCACTCTGAGGACTCTGGAGCCCGTACCAAGAAGGAAACTCCCTCATCTGTGGCTCAAACGCCTCACTTAGTAACAGCCTCTCAGTAGCTGCCTCCACGTGCCTCCCTCAGACGGCGGGGCCCCGAGGGCTGCCGCCTTACCTTCTCTTCAGGTGGCCCTCCTCGCCGTCCTCGACTCCCTCCATGTCCTCCTCTGGGCACTCCTCCTCACTCGCGGCCCTTGGAGGCAGTTCACTCTCCTTAAGAAACTCAGCGGCTTCTGGCGTGGGCAGCGTATGGTCGATAACTGTGCTGTCCTTCCCAGCTTTCCAAAGTTTGTACCTTTCTGGCTGGAACTTCCTCACAAACACGTCCATGGAGATCTTCACCATATCCTTCCTACAGGAGCACTGCCACGAGTAACCGGAAGAGCCCCAGGTGAGCACACTTCACCTGCTCTCACCTGACCCCCATATCCCATCTCCTCCCCTCAGGTGGACAAAGGTCCAAGACAGTTTAAAGCCAAACCATTCTGGGTTCAGAGGCTGAAGGCATATTGTCCTTGGAGAGCTTCAGACAGGGAGGGAAGCAGGGGAGAAGGGCGGAGGATGCATGGCACTATGGCGCTGGGCAGTCCGCCCAGGCACTACCAGGATGCGTGAGAACAGATCGATAGGAAACTCAGCACTCAGACCCAGATGGTCAACAGCCACCTTCGTGTTGGTATCTATCCAAGGCCAGGACCACACGAGCAAGTCTACTCCCAACCAAAGGTCCAGCCCTCTGCTTCCCTCAAGTAAAAGTAAACCCCTCAGAACTTCTCAACAGAGAAATCCCCGAGTGGCTAAAGCGCGAGTATCAATGTGTGTGGGTGTGGTTTGAATGCCCAATGGACTTACGCACGAAAACCTCACTTTATACTTCCTGAATCTGAACAAATTTTTAACGAATGCAAGATGTTGGGCACTTTTGCACATTCCCAGCCACTTGGTTCTGAATTGCAGAAGATCAAAGAGAAGTTCTAACCAGCAGCCAGTGCACCTAACAAGAACCAGACATGTTTAGGCACAGGGGGACAGAGAGGCCAAGCACTCACCAGCACTGCCTGTTTGCCATACTCAATCCACCGCCGCGTAGCAAAATTGGTAGACTCTGCACAGTTGAAGCCGTGGTTAAAGCCGGCGTGGTAGCCATAAGGAAATGTGATCATGAACTCTCCAGCTTCCTGAGTGACCTGCACAAGAGCAGAGTTGAAGCAGCTGCATCCAACTGCAGGAGTCTGCAGAACTGGACCTCTGAGCTCCAGCTCTGCCTCAACTTAGCTGAATAACCAAGGATAAGCCATAAAGCCACTGGGGTCTGTGTCTTCTACAAAATGCAAAGCCCTAACATATCATACTAGGAGCCCAGCGCGGCGGGGCCCACCCACCTGCAGCCCTGCCTCGACACCCGAACCTCTCCACGCAGAGCTCCAGCGCGCCTGGCCCAGCCCCTAAACCAATGATGGCGAACCTTTTGAGCTCGGCATGTCAGCATTTTGAAAAACCCTAACTTAACTCTGGTGACGTGTCACATATAGAAATTTTTTGACATTTGCAACCATAGTAAAACAAAGACTTATATTTTTGATATTTATTTTTGTATATTTAAATGCCATTTAACAAAGAAAAATCACCCAAAAAAATGAGTTCGTGTGTCACCTCTGACACACGTGTCATAGGTTCACCATCACTGCCCTAAACCAAATCAATAAAAAAAAAAAAAAAAGAAAAACCCTAACTTAACACTTGGAGTGGGGGAAACGAGTTAAGTCGGCTCGCGTGAATTGCGCGTACTCCGCGGGAGCCGTCTTTAACTCGGTTCATATAGATTTGCGGTGTAGTGCGGGAAACGTGTAAACTCGGGCCGATTGTAACTGCGTATTACCAAATATTTGTTTGTAATCCACCCTTTTGGTGGATGGAACAAAACCAAAAGACAGAGCCATCTTATATTTTGGCGGGAAATTCACCCCACACCGGAGTGTTAACTCTGGTGACGTGTCACATATAGAAATTTTTTGACATTTGCAACCATAGTAAAACAAAGACTTATATTTTTGATATTTATTTTATATATTTAAATGCCATTTAACAAAGAAAAATCAACCAAAAAAATGAGTTCGTGTGTCACCTCTGACACACGTGTCATAGGTTCACCATCACTGCCCTAAACCCTCTGGTCTTCTCTGGCCACTTCAAGCCGGGCACTCAGTCCCTCCAGCCGCCTCAGGCTGGTCCCGCCTTCTCTGGGTGCCTCCCTGCTTCCGCCCCATTTCATGCAGCGGCTCCGCCCCGTCATGGCGCCAGAGGAGAGTGTGGAAGCCTCCCACCTGCTGCGCTGTGCTCCTTCCCCTGGCAGGTGGGCCGCACAGCACAGCACTCAGCGTGGTGGGTGGCAAAGGACTGGTGAGGGGGGCGCTATGGGCTCTCAGCCCTGCCCTCCCCGGCACGGGATGGTCCCGCCTCCTCCTGGCACCTCCCCACTTCCGCCCTGTCTCCAGAGCAACGCAACAGCTAATATGCACCAGCTAATATGCTAATGACCTAGTCGTTACCGTTATGGCGGATCGACCATTAGCATATTAGCTCTTTATTAATATAGATTAGAACGCCACGACTATAATAACCATTCTTCCAAAGGAACTCTGTTCACAGGGATTTGACTCTCATCTGGTCCCGGGAAGGTATAGCAGCCCCACCTTTAACACCCTGATGTCAAAGTGTTGTTATATATGTCAGCTTTGGCCCACACCTGGCACAGGGTAATGAACGAGAATAAAGCTCCTCTCTGTGAAACACAGACCAGAAAGGGCGGTTTCCGTGTGAGGCTAAGGATTTCCATATGTAAAGTCAGCTCACCTTGTCAAAGGGAATCCGTATTTCTTCAGCATTAAAGGGGAAATCAAGGTCATCTTATGGCGGAGAAAAGCCTCACAGCTTTGAGCACTTCCTGGGAAAAAGCCTGTTTAATTGAAAATAGGCACAGGTGAACGGTGCTCCACACTCACTGTGTAACCCTAGCATCCTACCCCTGTGCATCTCGCCTGGACAATAAGGGGATAAATCACCAAGGTGATCTCTATGGATCCTTCAGCCCCAGCCCAGCTCTAAGATTCCACAAGGAACCTCTGGGCTCTCGCGGGTAGGCCGCCCGTGGGTAATCAGATTCTGTTTGGGGACCTGAGATGACCCAGCAGCCCGTTTTCTGATAAAGAGCTTTGACACGCTTTCGGACCTTCCTCCATGCAGCTGCATCCTCAGTCTTTGTTAGTAACACGTCTACTACAGAACAGACTACCCAGCTCTCCTGAAATGGGCTCTCTGGAGGAATCATCCATCAAAGGCCACTTTAAGGAGTCAAAGCATTAAATAATTCCATCCTGACTTTAACATTTGGGTTTCTGGCAGAAGAGTCAGACCCAATATGACTGGTATACTATCTCCGGTCAAATGAATCCGTGCTCGATAAAACCGAGGCAAAGACCGTCTAAGAAGGAACTGCCGAGTCCCTTCCCAGGACAAAGTGCGGAAAGGCTCTGCTTCTAGTTGCTCCATTAGGATAACTAACCTGGCAGTCTGGCTTACCCCCCACCTGCAGGCCTGAGAAGGGACACGTGACAATCTGACCACAGAGAATGGACGCATTAGAGCAATGAGCACAGCGCACAGGAGGGTCTGAGCCAGCTGTGGAGGAGACACAGTACCTTTGGCGAGGCGCTCCAACCGCTTCCCGTGCTCAGGGGGAACAGAGTACCTGCAATCACATAAAGGCATTGGACGCTGAGCAGAGGACAGGACGGGAACGGAAGGGGCTGGTTCCCACTCTCAAAACAGCTCAAGCTATCAGGTTTTTCAACCTCCCAACTACAAAAACGAGAAAGGAAACCTGGAGAAATGAAATATTAGACTGTTTGGGCAGAGTAGCGGGGAGCCCACAGAGAAGTGTGAGTGAATTCCTCTTTTCTATTCATTAATGAGACATTGCTGAATGTTTACTGTGAGCCAGGATTTAGGTATGCACTCAATGTCGCTCTCCTTTATGATGTCGTAAATGACATGAAATGAAATGCAATGGAATGAAATGAAAATGAAATGGAAGAAGGATGGCATTAAAGTGCCCTGGCAGAACTGATGGCCTAACAGTGACATGATAAAGAATAAAAAACAAGGCAAAAATGGATTAGACCTGGCCCCATATCTGCTGTTGAACCCATCTCCCCTTGTCTCCAGTTATACTGATCACCCAGTAGTTACTCCTCCACCCAGACACCATAGAAACTGCTCTTCATTAAAAAAAAGGACCATGCCAAACCGGTTTGGCTCAGTGGATAGAGCATCGGCCTGAGGACTGAAGGGTCCCAGGTTCGATTCCGGTCAAGGGCATGTACCTTGGTTGTGGGCACATCCCCAGTGGGGAGTGTGCAGGAGGCAGCTGATCGATGCTTCTCTCTCATCGATGTTTCTGACTCTCTATCCCTCTCTCTCCCTCTCTGTAAAAAATCAATAAAAATATATTAAAAAAATAAAAAATAAAAAAAAATAAAATAAAATTAAAAAAAAAAGGACCAAAAAACCATGTAAGACTATTCAAAACTTTTGCTAAACTGCTAAACTTTACAGTCTGAAAAGCACAGTAAGTCTATTCTAACCTTTATAATCAAGTCTAAAGATTATTCCACAACTGCCGGAAGCCGGTCCATCCTTGCTGCTTGACACAGTCACTGCAGGGAAGAAACATCTGCACAGCATATGTTTCAAGGGACCTGGCGTATATGGCATACTGTTCTTAATATGTTTGCTCACCTTCTTGGCGCTATGTGTTTTAACCAAGGTCACCTCTCCGAGAAAGGTTGTTTCCCCAGGTAGGGATTTTTCCCTGAAGTTAGGGAGGGGATAAAACCCCTTAACTAAATGCCAGGCAGGTAGTTAATCACTTTAACTACGAACAATCACCCTTAAGCTACATAATCTTTACTCCCTGGAATGGAGATAAGAAACCCCCTAACCTTTGGAATATAAATTGACAGGATTAAAATCAACTGGTATAAATACAGATGTAACAAGACAATAAAAGACAGAACTTGGCTGGAGATCCTGGCTAGAGATCCTGGCTAGGCTGCTGATCAACTAAAGGCTGTCTCCGTGTCATTCCTTCTTCACGACTCCGTCCACACCTTTGGGGACCCCTGGACCTGCTGGGGTTGGACCCCAACACACAACAAACACTTCCCATCCCAAAAGCTTCATTATGAAACAAAACAGACGAGGATATTTGTCACTGAAAGCACTGTGGGCAACCTTGCACGCCCACCTCTGGAGGTCCCACTTGATGGCCTGAAGAGTGCATGTAATAACCAGAAAACCTGTTATCGACACGAGAACAGAAATCCATTCTCAGGGAACTTTGGCGTAAACGTGGTGAAGAAACAAAAGCTACACTGACAGAGTCTCCAAGTCTAGCCAACTAAGGAAGGTCATGGGACAGTAGGTCAAAAAATTTTGCCCCAAGATGAGAAACTCAAAAGTATTTGAAAGAAAGGAAAACCCCTGGGAAGGGATGTAGCTTTAGACGCTGGAAAAGGGCAGGAAGATGGATCCAGTGCCCATGACTCCTCATGGCCTGGCCCATGCTGCTCCTCTGGCTTCCTTACTCACTTCAATCATAGCAGCTGGCACCCAAACCACTATAATCTTCCCCTAGTTCACTAAAGACATCATGCTGTCTCTCAACTCAGGATCTTGGCCCGGGTTTTCCAACCACTTAGACACACTTCCCTCAGCCTCCCTTCTCCTGAACCCACCATCGTCCCACCCAGCCACCCAGCTACTCAGCTACGTCTTTCTCATTTGCTAGGTCTCAGCTTCATTGTCACCTCCTTCAGGGGCACCCTCTCTGATCACCACCCCTCATGTGCCCTCTCCACGTGGACCTACAGCATCCACCGTCTCCCATCAGAGCTTTCCTCACACTTTGCATCTCCTGTCTGTGAGGGTAGCTACCTCACCTGTCTTATTCACTGCCTTTGAATGCAGCACCTTCACTAACTGCTGAGCCAGTAAGTGATGGACCAGCAGAGGGAGAGAAGAGAGAACACATCTTTGTCTCCCCCACCAGACTAAGGACATCCTGGAGAGCAGGAAGCATATGCTGAATGGCCTTGCATCCCCTCTTGTGTTAAGCACACGCTGCTGCTCTAGCCTTGGAAGTCTGCCTCTAAGAAATGCCTCAGGCCTGCTCAGAAAAAGAAAGCAGAAAGCGGTGGGAGAGGTGGGAATAGCCTCTGTGGCTCTCAGTCACTCAGCCAACTCTCGCTTGCACGCAGTGGTACGAAGTGCCCTGCCCTCTAAAGCCTGCTACTCCAAAGGCAGTCTGAGCACCAGAGCTCCAACAGCATCTCAGCACTTGGAAGTCTGTTTAAAATGTAAAATGCCACTCCCACCCCAAGCCTACTGAACCCGGGCCTGCATTTTAACAAGCTCTGGAGGCGTTTTCTGGGCACAGGAGAGCTGAGGAGCCCCCTCCCTCCCCAGAAGCTCCAGTGCCAACTGCAGGCTGACTGTACCAGGACTTGGGTTCTCCGAAGTGCAGGTAATTGATGCTGTAGAGGTCCATGTCTTCAGTGTGCCAGGCAAAGGATGTCTTCCACATGCCAAAGTACAGGTACGGGGTGTTCACACCCTCGATGGTGATCCCACTCTCCTTTTCCACCAAGTCCAGGATTGTTTTCAGCCGGCCAATATTCCACTCATCAACATGCTGCAAAGGAAATGACAGTCCAGGGCAAGTTATCAAGATGATAAACCGAGGCTCCGAACCTACAAATCATGGAGTAGGTCCCAGGTGAGCTGTCACCTCCTAGAAAGATCACAGATAATGTCAAAACAGCATGGGCATGAAGTTCACAGCATCTCTCGCCCTCTTTTCACGCCACCACTGGAAACGATGCCATTATAACCTCTGAAGGACAAATACCACTTGGTGAGCACTCGTATATGAAAGATGAATAAAGTGGTGACAGCCACCTGTTCTAAACCCCAGAATAAAGAGTTTTCAACTGAAGCTAAAGAAACTTATGACAAAATAGGAAAAAAAACTCCTAAACCATAAAAAATACAAAACATGAGCATGAACTAGATCAATCTGTGACTTTTCTAGCCCCACTTTCCACTGAGCAGTGTTCTCGGTAAAAAGTTTTACCTAGTCCTTTCTGAGTTGTAATGGTCAG